TAGTCATAGCCAGAGCCATAGCCGCCATAATCGTACTCGGAGCCCGACTTTGAGGCCGAGTTGCCGGGTCCAGTGCGCGGCATACCGCCCACAGGTCCAGTGGTTGATGGACCGCCCGCAGCCCAGGCCTGGGCACGCGAGTACATGTCCGTGGCGGTGCCCGCCCCAGCTCCAGGTGCTCCAGTGGGTCCAGCCGAATTGGGTGGCATGTTCCACGAGTTCCAGCTGCCACCGCCAGACGGCCCGGAAGGAGCGCCCGTCGATGTCGAGTTGTACATATCGTAGCCGCCGTATCCCTGGGTCTGCTGGGGTCCAGCATAGTTCGACCACTGTGGTGGTGGTCCCTGGGGGCCAGGTGGTGCGCCCCAGCCTTGGTACGATCCTGGACCGCTGTTGCCATAACCATAGCCCTGCTGTTGAGGCGAGGTGCCCCAGCCCTGATAGCCGGGCATCATGTTCGGCGCACCGATCGGCATATTCAGTGGCGGACCACCCATTTGACCGTTTTGGCCCTGGATCATGTTCATTGGGGCATGATGGGGTCCCCAGTGGCTGCACTCGCTGTTCATCTTGCCATAGGCACCACCCACCGTGCTGTTGTTCGAATTCTGTCCGCCAGATCCGTCACGAGGCTCGGCCTTCTTGATCTCCACCTGTGGAACGAGGCAAACGAAAGAGTGGCAACAATGAGGAGAAAGGACAAACTAGGTGGAAATTGAGGACCAGTAAGGCAACATACCTGCTTGCCGTTCAGATTGATGTACCGCTCATTGGTCACATGCTCAACCGACGACTCTTCTTCAAAGGACAGGAATCCGAAACCACGGGATTTCTTCTTCTCCTGATCGTACATGATAACTACTTCGGTCACTTTGCCGTACCGACCAAAAAAGGTACGCAGATCGGTTTCCGTTACGTTCGATGGGAGACCGCCGAGGAACACCTTGTAGCCGCCGCCTTTCTTCGGCTTTTGAAGCGTGCGTGGGTTGCATGGCTTCGGATCGATGGTACGGCCATCGAGCGTGTGCGGACCGTTCTGCAGCACATGGTTTACATTGGTGGGATCGGCAAAGGTGACGAAACCGAAGCCACGCGACCTGCCGCTCTCGTTGTTCTTCATCACGACACAATCGATGATGTCGCCGAAGCGGCAGAAGTAACGCGACAGATTCTCCTGCGTTGTCTCCCACGATAGTCCACCCACAAATAGTTTGCCCCTCTCGTCCTCTTCCATGATGTTGTTCTGGTGATTGTGAGCTATTGCGCCGGGTAGGTTTTCAATAATTGACGTAATTTTGCTGCTGTTTTATTCACACGGGTGTATAAGAAATAAAATGTCTTCTCGCTTGGGTCTTCTTGCACTTTTTTCTTAACTTTTTACACTGTTATAGTTGCTGGTTGCGTTGCTGTTAAGGTTTCTGTTATATTTTGGATTGATTTTAAATGTTGCCAAAGTTCTTCTCTCCTTCAAAATAACTAAACAAAAGCCACGACGTTTACACGTAACTTTCTATAGAATGGAAATGGTTGAAGTAGGCATGGAAAGATACAGAACGATTTAAAGAAATTGTTAATCAAAATCACTTTTTTTCTTGGTTAAAAGTAAAGACGGGTGCGAAAAGGTGGAAGGCAAGAACAAAGATGACAAAATATGTACGCAGACACACCAACACACGTAGGCACAGGGAGCAACCGAAATAGGCATAGATAATTATGAAAGGCGCAGGTAGGCAGCATAGTCAGAGGCAGCGGCAACAGCAACCGGCCGGTACGCATACATTCTCATGCAAAGGTATTTGTGAGCGAGTGAGTCTACATGTGTGTTTTTGCCGTCTAACTGCTTTTTTTGTACACGTTCACAAGTTGCTGGGTTGTTTTCAACGCTCCGCTTGCTCTGCTCTTCGTGCGGTTCACAAACTGTTTTCTGCTGATGCTGCTTCCTCTTTTTTACACTGCTGCGTGAAAGTATTGTTTTCTTTTCGCTGTCTCACGAGCGATGTTGTTAGTGTAGCAATACCAGCCTCAGCCTCTAACCCACTCACACCCACACAGATGCCGACTATCAATGAGAACAACGAACTTATTCCCAAGGTGAAAACAGAACACTGCCGGTCCGGTCCCACCACATTTGCGCGCCATTTGCTAGGTATTGCCAGATGGGTCTTGTTAACACCCAACCCTACCGAAATCTTCAAACTGTGAAAGTTCAGGTCATGTAATCCAATCCCTGTCCGGTGTCTGAGAACTGAAATACATTTTTTATTGGGCTGTCTCGTGTCTCGCGGAAATTTTCCCACTCACAAATCCAAACATGTGGCAACGCTTTGTGGCGACGTGAAAGCGAATGTACAGCGAAAAGGAACGTACCAAGAAGCAATGCCCTCAAAACGAAAGACACATAAAACGTTAATTCTAAAATAAAAAAATTATTTACTTCTTTGTGGGCTCTAATTAATTTCAGCCTATATCTGTCCACTCACTTTCCGCAAAACTGAATGAATCTCTTGAAAAATGTGGGAAATTCACCACAGTAGAAGACAACAGCAGCGACGACAGAGAAAAAAAAAACAAAATGGAAGACGACGTGCCTGATGAAAAAATGCTTCAACAAAGAAATGTATTAAGAAATGCTTTCTGGGGCTAAATGCTCTCGATACAGGAGAATTTCACATGGCCTTTAATGATTTTTTTAGTTTGAAGCAAATCAAGGCATTTCAATTAACTGATGCCGGTAATATTCACACAACAATAGAACACACGACACTTGTACTGCTTGTAGCTTTACGTTTGTTGGTCGGATAAATTATAGTTGAATTAGCTAAATTTCTACTACGCAATTTTAAAAATTTCGCATGATTTTTGTATTTTGCACCGCAATCTTTATGCACATGAATGTACACATGCTTGTGTGTAGGTTCATGAGTTGGCCGTACGGTTGTATGCGTGCGTGTGTGTGAGTGTGTGTCGCGAATGGCCGCCGACAGACCAGACCGAACCGACCGATTTGTACTCGTGTGCGTATGTGTTGGTGTGGTGTTATACATAGCATTTTTTGTATGTATGTATAAAAATATGAAATTTTCCACTTTATTGGGCAAAAAAGAATGTTGTAAGTGGCACGGAAAAACTGCAGCCTTTGTACGCACAAATTACAAATCACAAACTTGGTTTAAAAACAAAGAGCTGCTGGTCGCATTGCTTGCGGTGCACAGTCGAATCAAATAAAATTTACACACCACCACACCAAGCAACGGCAGCTGCGTCAAGTATTCAACTTTTTTGGAAAGGCAAGGCAGAGGCAGGCATTTTGTTAAAGCACCGTAATTGTTATGTAAAATGCAGATTTGATTTGTTTTCCATGCTTACCGTTTGTGCCAAGTGTTCGTCTGTGATTTTATAAAGATTTCGCACTGCAAATTCACTAAATTTAAGTGTTTTTTCCTTAAAAAACTAGCTTATAAATAATTGTATGATTTTGATGCATACGATATAACCTAACTTATGATAGAATCGTCGCCACCGCCACGTTTAATGTAATCGATAGCAGTAGTCGTGCTCGCCCCACGGTCACACTGTACAGTCACAATAGCTTATCGGATCATAGCGTCTCTGGGATTATATTTTCCAGCCCATCGCTAATCTGTCATTTGTTTTGCAAGCATTTTATATATCGATATCCCCCTTATTTTCTGCTGTGCTACGCTACCCGGTAAATGCTGAAATGGTGCAGAAATAAATACAATTCTCTGACTGAAATATTGGGAAAAACAGTCGCGTAAAGTAATGAAAAGCAACCGCCAGTTTTTCTAGCCGACAGTGTTTCCGTGAGAGCAGTGTAAAGCAAATTTTCGTGCCGCATCGATTTTTTCTGCGCCGCTGCTGCTGCCGCTGCCACATTAACAGCCCCAAGCTAAATCAAAAACTACATTCACAATGTCGCGGCATCCGAGTGACCGCAAGGTTTACGTTGGAGATTTGGGCAACAACGCCCGTAAGAACGATTTGGAGTATGTGTTTGGAGCTTACGGAAGTCTGCGCAGCGTCTGGATTGCACGCAACCCTCCAGGATTCGCCTTTGTGGAGTTCGAGAGCGCTAGAGATGCAGCGGATGCGGTGCGCGGTCTAGATGGTCGCACTGTGTGTGGACGCCGAGCCCGTGTGGAGCTGTCGACTGGTAAATACGCAAGATCTGGTGGCGGTGCAGGAGGCGGTGGCGGCGGAGGAGGAGGTGGCGGTGGTGCTGGAGGACGCGACCGCGGAGGCGGCGGCGGCCGTGGGGACGATAAGTGCTATGAATGTGGCGGCCGTGGCCACTTTGCCCGCCATTGCCGTGAGCGGAAAGCAAGACAACGACGCAGGTTAGTGCAATTTTTCATTCATTTATGTTGCATTTTTTTCGTGAAACATGGCGATATTTTCGCATACATACAGACAGGGATACTTGTGTGTGTGTATGTATGTATGCGTGAGGATGTGCTACAAAACATTTTTAAATTGTTCTGAGTGTGGTGAGAAAATTTTCACTCGCCGTGCTGTTGGGCGCGCAATGTAAACTAACATTAAATCGTATGTTAAGTGGTAGTGTGTGCTGTTAGACGCAGAACTATGTTGCTGTTGTGCGCAAACTGCCGCTTGGTAACAGAGCACACGTGCTCGTCACAGTACTGGGTACTCGCAACGAACACGGTTCTTATTTGTTGTTTGTTTGATGGAAAATTATCCATACGTATGTTCACAAGTGATTTGCCGAGATAGGTCGGAAATGTGAATTTTAGCATATTAATATTTATAGTAAAAATAATTAATGTGCCCATTCATAACATTAAAAACTAAAGAACGGGTATCTAATGATCGGGGATGCTTGACAATATCGATCTATTTTCAAGTGAGTTTTTGGTGGTGAATTAGTCTACAGTGTGGTGAAGCAGCCAGGTCGGTGCTGTTAAGCGCAAACTGTACGGCAACCCTGGCCGTCGCCTGCGCACACGTGCTTACGCTTCATTTTGGATTTTTCTTTTACACGCGGCATACAGAAAAGAAGGTTAAGTTTCGTGCCGACGTCTGGGTGTTTTATTAATTTTTCATAAATAAAAATTAAAACTAAATGAGCACAAAGTGACACAATGTTTGTGCTCTACGAAACGCCGGCGGGCTACGCTATTTTCAAGCTGATGGATGAAAAGAAGCTCGAACAGGTCGATAATCTGTACCTGGAGTTCGAGACTCCGGAGAAGGCCAACAAATTGCTGAAATTGAAGCATTTTGAGAAATTCAACGACACCACAGAAGCGCTGGCCGCCGCCACGGCAGCAGTCGAGGGCAAGGTAGCCAAGCCCCTGAAGAAAACGCTGAAAAAGTTGCTAATCGACGAAGTGCAGGCACCCTTGCTGGTGGCCGATGCAAAACTGGGCACAGCGATCAAAGACAAGCTGTCTGTGCAGTGTGTGTACAACACTGGCGTCCAAGAGCTGATGCGCTGCATCCGCCAGCAGGCGGACAGTCTACTGGGCGGTCTGCCCAAGAAGGAGATGACGGCCATGGCCCTGGGTCTCGCCCACTCTCTGTCACGCTACAAACTTAAGTTTTCGCCCGACAAAATCGATACCATGATTGTGCAGGCCCAGTGCCTGCTCGATGATCTGGACAAGGAGCTGAACAACTATATGATGAGGGCCAGAGAATGGTACGGCTGGCACTTTCCCGAGCTGGGCAAAATTATCACCGACAACATTGCCTTTGTGAAGACCATCAAGCTAGTGGGCACCAGGGATAATATGGCGGCCGCCGATTTGTCGGACATTCTGCCCGAAGACGTTGAGGAGAAGGTGAAGGAGGCAGCCGAAATCTCGATGGGCACTGAGATCTCCGAGGAGGATGTCATGAACATTCAGTGCTTGTGCGATGAGATTATCTCCATCAATGACTATCGCACGCATCTGTACGACTACCTCAAGGCACGCATGATGGCCATGGCACCCAATCTAACAGTGCTGGTCGGAGACACAGTCGGCGCTCGTCTCATTGCCCATGCGGGTTCGCTGATCAATCTCGCCAAGCATCCCTCATCAACAGTACAAATTCTGGGCGCCGAAAAGGCACTCTTCCGTGCGCTTAAAACGAAGAAGGACACTCCTAAATACGGTCTTATCTATCACGCCCAGCTGGTGGGACAGGCGAGTCAAAAGAATAAGGGAAAAATGTCACGTTCGCTGGCGGCCAAAGCATCGCTGGCCACCCGCGTCGATGCCTTCGGTGAGGAGGCGACCTTTGAGCTCGGCGCCGCACACAAGGTGAAGCTGGAGGCCCGCTTGCGACTGCTGGAGGAGGGCAATATGCGCAAGTTGTCTGGCACGGGCAAAGCCAAGGCAAAGTTTGAGAAATATCAAGCCAAGAGGTATGTATTGCTCTTTAGCAGAGAGGCAGAGAGGGAAAATCTGTTGCAAGTCAATTTCTAATGATGATATCAAAAAGGTTTCGCATATATCTGATTACTATGACGATAAACCTTGGCTGTCTGAGTGAAATTGAGTGCTTCAGTCTCCCTTTAGACTCTCGTTGCTGCATTTTCTCTCAGTGTATTTATTAATGTATTTCTATTCCCTGCTATTTTTGCAGCGAGGTGTTCACGTATCAACCCGAGGCGGATAACACATTAAATGTGAAGAAGCGCAAGCACTCCGTGGCCGAGGAGGAGGAGGAGAGCAGCTCACCAGTCAAGAAGGAGGTCAAGGAGGAGCCAACCGAAGAGGAGGCAGAACTCAAGTCCGAGAAGAAGAAAAAGAAGAAGAAGAAGCAAAAGGATGAAGAGACAACCGAGGATGAGCCCAAGACAGAACCCAAGGCAGAGCCCGAGCCCGAAGAAACACCAACTCCAGCCAAGAAAAAGAAAAAGTCCAAGAAGGAGCAGCAGGAATAGAGAGAGAGGCACTTGAAGGGGGACATAATTTTAAGGCTCTTAACTTGTAGCATTTCATTATATAATAGGAGGAACCGTAGGATTCTATACAATTAATCAGCAAAGAGTAAAGTTTATTTGTTTTATACATTAGCAATAAAATGTAATATTCATAAAACCAAATCAAGTTTTATTCTGTGTGTGTGTGTGTGCTTACATCTTCTATGGTTATGTCTGTCATGTAATTTGTGCTTGCTTGCAGAGGCATTTGTCTTAATGGATTTTTTAATTTCAGATGAGATTCTTCATTGACAAGTAACGCGAGCTTCGCTTCACTTCAAACAGTTGCAGAACCCTTTATTGGGAATAGCATAAAGGAAGAGCAATCCATGTTATTTTGTGGCGCACTTCTAGAGCATCTATTTCGATACATTTCGGCTTCAGAGAAGTCATGATTGCTCAGGCTCGTGTCATGGCGTTCCCAGCTGCATCTTCTTCATAACAGATGGTGTCGACGTGATCCGTGATACGTGGGATAGCTTTGTCTTGCACTTTGAACGCTCCGTCTTAGTCGTGGGATGCGTTTCCAAACCCATATTGATCGTTGGACACGTTTCCAGCTCCATGTTTTTCGTGGGACATGTTTCCAGCTTCGTCTTGATCGCAGGACATGTTGCTAGCTTCGTCTGCATCGTTGGATATGTTGCCAGCTTCGTCTGCATCGTTGGATGTGCTGCCAGCTTCGTCTGCATCGTTGCAAGCCTCCGACTTGGTCTTCGTTGGACCAGGCTTCATGTTTCGTCTTGCTCGCTGGACATGGTAATATATGTCGGAAGCAATGCCCCACCCCTGTATCAATTTGTAGAACAAATTTCCGAAAATATAAAGGCTTATCTCGAGTGTACAAAATGTGAGGGCTGGCTTTCTGTTTTAACTTCCTTTGGCTTATACAGCTAAGGATTGCTTTGATTTGTTTCGACTGACCTTTCATATGAATCTTTTGATGTGGCGACATTTAGAGCAAAAATTAAATTCTTCAATCGAATCGATTTTGGAGGCCACTCTTTCTCCCTCCGAGAGTTGCAAGAAGCCTGCGGCTGCTGTTGCTGCTGCTGCGATTGATTGCTTGTGGTATAGCGCTTGCAGCCAATGAAGCAGAAAGTTTTTACGTCAGCAGCAGCAGGGGGCTTGCATCATGCGGCTCCATTCAGCGGTGCCCCAAATCTTCAGTATAAAAGCAAATGCTGCCTTTGGGTAGTGGGTTCAGTGTAAAGGTAACCATACCAGGCGAAATGCGGGGCTATTTGAAGCTGCTGTTGGTCCTGGGCCTGCTGCTGACGTACGCGGCGGCGAAGAAGAAGGAGGCCTCCTCCGAGGAGGAAGAAGAGGGTGGCGAAAAGTACGAGAAGAAGAAATACGGCGATGAGGAACACAAGGGTGGCCACGGACGCAAGGAGCACAAGGAGTGGGAAGAGGACGAGAAGAAGCATCATGATGAGGAGGACCAGGAGCATCATCATGGCGAAAAGGGCGAGAAGAAGAAAAAGCACTACGACGAAAAAGAAGAAAAGGGGGAGAAGCACGAGCATGGTGCACACAAGAAGGGTGGCAAGCATCATCACAAAAAGAAGCACAAGAAGGGCCACAAGGAGATGGAGTACCACAAGAAATTCAACAAGGACGAGTACTACAAGGAGAAGAAGTTCTATGACGACGAGCACAAGGGCGGACATCACAAGAAGTTCGGCAAGGAGCACAAGCACCATGCCGAGGAGCATGGTGAGCACAAGAAGGGCGAAAAGCACGAGAGCGGCAAGAAGAAGGGCCACAAGAAGCACAGCGGCCACTACAAGAAGGGCCATCACGACGAGGATCACAAGAAGTACAAGAAGGAGCACAAATACGGCGACAGTCACGAGGAGAAGGAGGAGCATAGCAAAAAGGGCTCCAAGAAGCACGGCCACAAGCACTACAAGAAGAAGGGAGGCAAACACTAACCGAATCTCTCTCTAAATATCTTTACATATTGTGATCAAATGTTGTAGTTTATGCGAATAAAACTCTGGGCAAAGTGTAGCATTCATATTGTTTTTTGTAGCATCTAAGACGCACTTCATATATTGTTTATATCATTTGTTAAATCATGAATAATTGAGATCCTGGTCTTGGTTTCATTCTAGAAGCAACTCGTTCAGCAGATCTCGTAGCACATCCCGTCGCCGTCGCACTCGCTCCAAGTCTGGTGGCACTCGTTCGCGCAGTCGCTCCGCTGGCTCGGTGGGCGGTACTGCTCGACGCTCTGGCCGCTCAAATGGACGCGATGAGAATGGTTCGGTGTCACGCTACAGCGACCACGAGCGCAATGGCAGTGGGGCAGTGGACACATCACCGCCGCCACCGAAGCGCCGCTACGATGATGATGATGATGAGCGGGATAGAGGTTCACGTTCGGCATCGCCGCCAGTGCGTCGCGGAGGATCACCACCGCCACGTCGTCGCGGCGATTCGTCGGCCTCACGTTCCGTGTCCAGGGACTAGCGACGACAAACGGATGCAGACGATGGCCGTAAATTCAAGAAGAAATAATTTCGTGGGGCCTGAGAGCTGCAGCCAAGAAACAAAAAGAATCAGCGCGAAATGGGGAAGCTGGACAACAAATTCCCCTACCCCTCATTCCCCCCACACACAAAAACAACCCCAAATACATAATATAACAAAAAACAAAAGAAAAACAATTCCCAAAACAACAAAAATACAACAAGATAACTTTTTTCACGAAGTATACACCCACACATACATATAAACAAATACCGTTTAGTTGTCCCCCCCCCAAAAAAACCATTTTAGCTTAGGGTTTTAATTTATTGTCTAAGGGAAGTACAGTCAGCATTTGTAAGTACTTTTTGCTATTGCGACAAGACCTGGGAAAACACACGAAACACTCACACATACGCGAAAAAGAAACAGCAGAAACTAGAACAAAGGGCGCTTGAAATATCAAAAAGAAAATAACATCAAAATTTATATATTAAATACAATAAAAAAGGATCGGGACAGAAGGGACAAACACCACAAACCGAACATCGATCTAGTCACACCGTTTGCTATGTAAATTGATTTTTGTGCTTCTTATTTGACAACCAGCCGATGTATAGACGATGCCTGGAACGATACTCGAATATGTAGAAGGCGGAACGACAAATTCGTGTGTTTGTTTTATCAACTGGGGGGAATAAGGCGCCGTCACATCTAGAACATCCCTGCTCCCATGTCACGTACCATTAAACATAACATCAATATGTCAATTCTCTTCAATTCATGTGTTATACCGATCCGATTTCCATTAAATACATGCACACAATCTTAACATTTCAACTTTTAAATACAACTTTGTATGGTGTTTTCATTTTCAAATATTCAAATATGATTACAAGTCCTGCTACAATGCGAAATTAAACAAAATCCATGTTCATACATTGATGTCATAGTTAAGAATTTAAAAAATAAAAAATATGTATGAATTCTTCGATGTGTGTTTGAACTATATATAGCAAATGCGCTGAAAACTAAAATACAAAATTATTCAAATCAATAAATTAAATGCCAAAAAACCAACACCATTTTTTTCACATTTTTAAACCACAGAAAATGTTTGAAAGTTAATATTAGTTCTAAGATTACTAAAGATAGAGATATTCTGTGAATTGCTCAACGAGCATTATTCACAGGAATTATGAATTATATCAGTTGACGCATAGGGATGGTAGATTCAAATATGTAGATGCCTGGTGGAGACGTTCAAGAGTTAGGTACCATCGATAGAACATGTGCAGGCCAAATATAATCGAATTGAGAGTGAGGCCAAAAAAACACTAGAGCTCAAACGCAGAACCAAAACAAAACCGAGATAAAATAACGACTCCTCTTACTATAAGTATATATTTCTGATCAATGCGGTAAAGTAGCTGCGATCAAAATCCGATCATCCCTGCGATGATTTAATCAACAAAAAAATAGTATAAGTATATCGGTTACTTTCTTTCCTGCGTTATCTGTTTCACGACACAATATTTTTCATCGCACAAAAACATCGATACATCTGCAAAAATTTCTACAACAGAAATGTAGCGTTTCGATTACTTTTTGCTGAGCAACCCAGTAGCCGCATTAATCGCATCGCATTCCTTCCTTTAATTCCGTATTGTGTTTGTTTTTAATTTTTTTTTATGAAAAGTCAGTCACCCCTTTTCACATATAAGATATTGTTATTAAATTTCTAAAGCCACATTGTTAAACTGCGCACAGAGGCCAATATACGGGAGCTACAATGGCATTTCGCCAGTCGCAGCACGAAATGAGCGTCACCTCGCTCGAGCATCTCGACTCGAGTGTCGAATTGCGATCGCGTTCACCGTCGCCGCAAGTGTTTAATCCACGCAAGCTGCGCTTCGCCGACGACGACTTTGACAAGGACCAGGCGGAGAGCCTGAGTCCGCAGCACAAGAAGAAGGCACCTGCAGACGTATCCATGTCACCGCCCTGCCAAAAGGTTCGTGCCCTACGCCTGTTCAGCACTCCTGCCACACCGAAGACGATTTTGCAGAAATCGCAGTGCAGCAATCATCTGTCAGCTGCGGCAGATGTGCTCAATGCCAAACGCCGAGAGGATCTCTTCCGCCTGTCAGAGCGCCCGCGCTGCTTGCCGCTGCACAATCGAAGCATGCAGCCCCAGGACACGGCCAATGTGAATCCCTTCACACCAGACAGTGAGTGCCCATTGAGAGTGCATCAATTGTTCAGGTTGATTAATGGTTTGTCTTTCCTTTAGGTCTGCTGGCTCATAACAAGAAACGTTGTCGCACCCAAGTGGGACGCGAGAACCTCAACCTGAATGTGAATTCTATTCAAAAGTATTTGCTCAGCGACACCTGTGATGATGATGGGACAGAGGAGGTCGGCGATCCAATGCGCGAGATACACCAGGCACCCAAGCGGCTGGCCCTGCACGACACAAACATCAGCCGCTTCAAGCGGGAGTTCATGCAGATGCGCTTGATTGGTGTTGGGGAATTCGGTGTTGTCTTCCAATGCGTAAACCGGCTCGATGGCTGCATCTATGCCATTAAAAAGAGTAAGAAGCCAGTAGCTGGCAGTTCCTTTGAGTAAGTAAAAGCGACCCTGCCCCATGCCGCCTGATCATGGCCTAATCAGTGCTAATTCTCCTTACAGAAAACGTGCTCTGAATGAGGTCTGGGCCCATGCAGTGCTGGGCAAGCACGAGAATGTTGTGCGTTATTATTCCGCCTGGGCGGAGGATGATCATATGTTGATACAGAATGAGTTCTGCGATGGCGGCAGCCTGCATGCCCGCATCCAGGATCATTGCTTGGGCGAGGCCGAACTGAAGATTGTCCTGATGCATGTGATCGAGGGTCTGCGCTATATACACTCAAATGATTTGGTCCACATGGACCTGAAGCCCGAGAATATATTCTCGACAATGAATCCCACTGCCCACAAGCTGGTGGAGGTGCAAGCCAAAGATGATGACGGCGATGGCATGGACAGTGTCTATGAGGAGTTGCGCCACACGGAAAATCTGGTGACATACAAAATCGGTGATCTGGGCCATGTGACGTCCGTGAAGGAGCCGCATGTGGAGGAGGGCGACTGCCGCTATTTGCCCAAGGAGCTGCTCAACGATGACTACTCGAATCTGTTCAGGGCGGACATATTCTCTCTGGGCATCACCCTGTTCGAGGTGGCTGGTGGTGGTCCACTGCCCAAGAATGGCCCCGACTGGCACAAGCTTCGAGATGGACAAGTACCTTACCTGTCCACACTTAGCAAGGATTTCAATGAGCTGATAGCCCTAATGATGCATCCTGATCCGGCACAGAGGCCCACATCACAGTCCATTTTCAGTCATCCGTAAGTTTGTCAGACAAAAATCATAGAAAATAAATCTTTAATCGATTTGAATTGCAGTATACTGAGCGCTGTTGACTCGAAGACCAAGATGCAGCTTGGCCTGGAGCTGACCATGGAGAGGCGCAAGAACGAGATACTCATGAGCAAGCTGCGGGATGCAAAGAAGACGATAAAACAACTCGAGGCGAAAGGTGAGTGAAAGGATGGCAGATCAAATCCCTTGCCTTTGCTGGTTATTTATTCCGTTTTGTTCAATCGTTCCCCCACCACCCAGTTAACCTCTTGGCAGTGACAAATAATCCGGAGAGTGTTGAGGGTCAGCGATGCCTGCGCTCGTTCACACGACGTATGCGCACACCCTTCAGCACTCATGGCCGATATAGCCTGGGCGATCGTAACAAAAATGTAATCACCAATGTTTAAGACACTCGAAACCTACCTCCTAATCATATCATTTAACATACAGAATTATCTACCTACAGACAGCCAAACTCTTCCGAATCGAACGTGAACTAAGCTCACATTGCGTTTAGTTTCTTAAGTCCTAATTTAGCATCTATTATTTTATAGTTTAAACCTCACTAACTACTTTATATATACATATATCGAGACATTCGTAATAATATATACATGTATTTATCATTTTTTTGCAGCTCAAAGAACATTTTCTTAATCGAAGAAAGTCTTCTACATTAAAAAGAAAAGCAAACAAAAATTTCAAAAATAATCCACCCGCCCTCACACGTAGCATCTAAGCACATCGTAGTAGCGTCTAAGGATCGATGCATCCACATGTAAAAAATGAACGAGCACTGTTTTTCTAATTAAACCTATTTTATAATGTTAAATGGAATCGCGGGAACATTTCACACATTCCATGCGATCGAAATACATATAGCCAAAAGGCTGGCTATTCAATAAATGTTTTATTTTATTGCTGAAAAAAAATAATCCACCTCGAAGCAGAAAGTTTTTGATAAAAGTTTAACAAATGATTGGTTGTGTTTTGATAAGATAAAGAACAAATTACAAATTAAACACCAAATGAAACTAATTATACAACAAAATAAGAAGAAATGCTTATAACAAAAATATTAATTGACTTTTTATTTTTAATTAGATTTGGTGAAATTTTTTTAAACGAAACAATTAAGAAGAAAAGTTTCCATTACTTTTCCATTTTGATATGGTATTCAAAAATAAGAAGAAAGCTCAATCGACGGGCCCTGACAGCAGCAAGCGGTTCCTGAAATCAAATAAATAAATAAAGAAGAAAACTCCAGACAGACTCGTACATCAGAAAATGAATGCATTTTTATTATATTTTTAATTTGAACCATTCTAAACAATTGCAAAGTGATGTTTTGATAAAATTGCACATGATACATAGATCGTTTTCTAGTTCCTCGTAGAATATTATTCTAAATCAAAAAAATTAAAAAGAACAGAATGTTGGCATCAGAAATAATTGAATAATTTATTCTTAATTGATATTTATTTGTTTTTAAGGTGCATTTTTTGTTGTTAAAATTGTATACGGTATATGGTGGTTATATTATAGATAGATAACCCTAGGAGTACTGTCCATTAATGGTATTGTACTGCTCAATATAGGCGGAGTTGCTACTATTTGAATGTTAATATTTGTTACCCTAGAGACACTGTCATTAATAAAGGCAGGCAGCTCTTTGTGTTGTATATCTCATCTGCTTCTAATATACAATTTATATTTTGAGGCACTAAGGTAACAATTAATGTTCCTGGGAGTTAACTGATGGTAGCTTATTGAATCCATTCTATTATCGTTTATTTTTGTCTTCATTAAAACTTGTTACTTCTACGTGTAAGATCAATGCATAAAATGTTCGTGTATGTGCGCTTAAAATCTTCTATAGTTTTGATTTTGATTCTGTTGCCTATTGCCCCCGCCACCTCCTTGCTGCTGGTAATTCCTCTGCTGACCATTGTAGTTATTGTAACTCCTTTGGCCCTGCTGCTGCTGTCCACCCTCCTGGTTGTACCTTTGGTTCTGGTACTGCTGCTGGCCACCAGCGTACTGCTGGCGATTCTGATAGCTACCCTGGCTCTGGCTCTGATATCCACCACCTCCGCCGCCACCCTGGTGCTGCTGGTTGTAGTTATTGTTGTAGTTGTAGTTGTAGTTGCGACTATTATTCTGATAGCCTTGTCCTTGCCCCTGATTATAGCCGCCACCTCCACCGCCACCCTGATTGTAGCCCTGCTGTCCGCGGTCTCCCTGACTATTGCGTATGCCAGCATTCAGCATACGATGTCCACCAGGTGCCACGTAGGCCCTCGAATGATGGCTATTGAAACCAATGACGGGTCCGTTCTTCTGTCCTTCGGGGGAGGGCAAAACCTGCGGCGGATCAACAGCATTGGGCAGACGCTTGGCCTCGAATATGTAATCATCATCGTACTCGGGATCTATGAAGAATGTCGTCACAATGGTGTTACCAGTGATGTCAGGAAGTCCGGCAATCGGTGACGGCAGACAGCCATCGATGGCAGTGTCTATGTCCGAACGGAGTATGGTGCCGCGCATGCCATTAAAGGAGATGGCATTGCATGGATTCTCGGCGTCCTCTGTGCCCTCAATAATCTTCTTCACCTTCTTGTAGTGTGGACTGGAGTTGCTGATGTACAGGAAATTGTGGCCCTGCTTATTGCGCTTTATCTCCGCGCCTGTCAACTGTGTGTAGTACGGTACGAGGGCCTTGAAGAGACGCTTCTCGTCGACAAAGGGCAGCAGGGCGACACCCTGCCAGGCAAACTTCTTGCCATTCAAATCGATCTTAAAGTCCTCCGGGTAAAAGTCGATGATGGGTGAATCCGGACTGGACATTAGCTCTGCCCAGGGTTCGGGCACATGCGAGCTACTGGCCGCCGGAAAGACTCCCATCAGCTGCTCCAACGGATTGAAGGGTTTTGTCCCCCGCTCAAAGGCCGTCGACAGGCCCTGGATGTTGACAAAATCCGAAGCAAAGGGGGCATAGTGATAGGGGAAGTACCAGTTCCAGGAGGCACAGCCCTGATAGTAGTACTTCAAGACCCAGCACAGTCCCCGCACATATTGCAGGGCCACGGCATAGCGGAACGAATGATTCTCGGGTGCCACATCGAACTTGGACTCGTAGTAGCGACTCTTGAAGCCATCCTCCCACAAGCGCACCTCGTCGTTGTCCTCCTCTTCCTCCTCGTTGGGACGTTTTTGTCCGGTTCTCAGCGCAGCAGCTTCCTGCTTGTAATTGGCAATACTCGAGGGCTGGCCATTGCGGCCAGCGCCAACGGCCTGGGCACCAAACACCGATTGATCCAGAGCGCTGTGATCCTGCCTCTGCCTCGGTTTATCCCTGGCCTTGAACTGCTGCTCTCGTCGCTGACGACTCTTGAATATCTGATCCTCGGCATTGCCAAGATCCGTCATTATCAGCTGCACACGATCGAGATTCACGTCCCCAGAGTCGGTCAGGTAGCCCTTTGTCTTGTAGACGCATTTCTTGTACAGCTCCACCAGGCGATCAACTGCGCCCTCGCGTATCTCCAGACTGGGTAGATGGGGCAAGAAATCGTTGCCCACAAAGAAGCACATGAACACCCAGTCATCGAGGGTGCGCTCAAAATTATATTCGAATGGTAGATTGGGCATCTCGAGCGTCTGCTTCAGGTACTCCCTGAGCACGCTCAGGCGTACAAATATGAACTTCACCTCGGCTCCAATGGCCACATCGGGCTTGAAGTTGGCTCCGGAAGAACCGACGGCACTGAGGCCCACACACTTGTCCATTTCGTGTCCGAATTGATTGCAAATGTCGCAGGGCCTGGGCTTGTTGGGCAGAAACTCCTCCCGGATGATGGTGAAGTTCGGCTCGTGGGTGGCCAGGCCCAACATGATCAGATCTGCATCGGCGCCGCACAGTACGTGCTGGGTGTTTGGATCGTGATCCGGCTGGGCGCGCTGCTTCCGTATGTAGTCCATGATCTTGTGCTCACCCTCGCCGGGCACATTGGCATCCGAGAGGATAACTTTGATGCCCTTCCACGCCGGGTTATTGTTCTGCCGATCGTGGACGTAGTAGTGTAGGCACTTGCTCAGCCTGTCCATGAACGGAGTGCCGGGCGTAATGCAATTGGAATCGAAGTGCTCACCCTTCTCCTTTTCGGGCGGCAGCTTGCAGCCGCGGGTCAGCAGCTCCTCGCGAATGCGCGCAATCTCCAGCCGCTTCTCGGTGGTCTCCTTGGCCGCACGGAAGCGACGCGACCTCTGCTGGTTCATCTTGGCCCTGGGCGCCACACCGTCAATGGCCATGTAGAGCACCTTTCGCGGTCGGACAATGCCAAACAATCGATCGATGCAATCGAATATGGCGACCATCATCTCGTCCTCGTTCTTGGGCGCCGGCTTGTCCTCCGGATGCGTACACGGGTGTATAATACCGTTCATATCCAGGTATAGGTTATCAAACTCCACTCCATTCGGATTGGGTAGGGTGGCGTCCTCGTAGATATTTTTACCGGTATCCGGATCGACCTGCTTGTTCTCATTGCAATCTATTATCACACTTGCGTATTTTCGGCTTAGCCACCGAAAGAATGCTGGTACTCCCATTTTTAGAGTTGTTGAAAATCTTTATCTAAATATTTTTCTTTTCCTTTGTGCTGTTTTTTCCTTTTTTTTTTTACATCAATACAGCATGTTTTCACTGGTGCTGAAAAACCATCGATGACACTATCGATAGTATTTGTGGTTTTTGTGCAATTGTTACAAATTTTTTCAGTGGAAAAGGTGAGATTTCGGAGTGTAGAAAATGAATACAACGCACATAAAAAGAATGCGGGTAATCAATATAATTTGTACAATTTTGTTTTTGTTTTCCGAACCTATTTTCCAATAGGGATGGAAGAACATAGCTGCATCCTATCGTCACGAGAAACCATCGTCAGTTACACGCTTTATGTATCGATTGTCCCCTGCCAGAGAGATGCCAGACCGCAAATTATAACTCATGTGTTCGACTAGGAGAAATAATTTGATTTGATAAAATGTCAAGAATATTACAGAAATATGTTAAATTTTCACCCCAGGAGTTGGAGACGTACGCCAATAATCCCGAATCATGCGTGAAATGCATCAACACGGACATGCACCTGTCGATGGGGCCGTACGGCATGGCCAGTTTCAAACATGCGCTTCACGAGCTGCTCATCTGCACCAAAGTGGGAATATACGATGCTAACCTATCTGCCATAGTGCTGGGCATTAAGAACATCAAGGTGTTGGGCCAGACGGCTGCCTTGAGAGCGGACGATCCCACCTTGCACTTGCTCATCAACGCAGACTTCTACGTCTTCCAGCCCATTGAGGGGGCCGTCCTGAATGGAGTTGTACGGCACATATCAAAGCATCAAGTCAGCGCTCTCATCTACAGGGTTTTCAACGCAACGATTCGCTTCACCAACAACAAGAACACCAGGGAAGGCATTACCATGGATCAGGACATTAGTTTTCGGATCAAAAGCTTCAGCATGGCCAATGTGATGCCCTACATCGAGGGAGAACTGTTACTGGATGAGGAGGAGGAGGGCACACAACCGGTGGTATGTTTTTATTTTTTGATAAAAACTAGAGAGAGTCATGTAACTCCTTTTTTTTATCCGCAGAACCAATCCGTCAAGCTTGGCACCTCAGAGCCGGAGGAGGTCAAGCCCGAACTGGAGCTCGATGCGATAATAGAATTGATTAAAAAAGAGCCGTGCATGGAGCCCACACCTAAGAAAAAGCAAGCGACAAAACGTAAAAAATCTGAACAGGACGACAAGCTGACAAAGAAAGTGAAAAATGTAATAAAAGCAGAGCCAATATAGCCTTAAAATTCCCAAAACCCCACTCGTGTTTTCCAGAATCCTCTGATTAGTACAAATTAGGAAAATGTAATGTAACTAGCAAGTCCTAGTATCCCCCTGCTATGCTGACCGTTAGCCACTCGGTATACAAAAACTGGAAATGTGCAATCAAATGTGTATTTGATTAACAAACAAAGGCCCGGCCAGGCTTTTTATTTAAATAAATACAGTTGCATAGAAATACCAAATACCACTTACGATGTTCTGTTAACGTCTGTCTCCTTGAGCAAGGAATTAGTAGCTGAATGGAGCTGGAAAGCTGTGGCTATTGGTGGACATCGGTTACCCATTATTCCCCGGGTTCCCCATGAAGCTCTGTAATTGAAGGCACTAATTTTGGGAACTTTCAACTTATCCACACTCTGGCACACACGATTTACTATCTTCTGTCCTAAAGTGGCTTAGTTTTCGCAGGAGATAATATTTATTCCATGCTGAAGTTGTCTACCAGCAGTCTGCCCTGGGATGTGATTCTTTTCACCATATTCACTCATTCTCTTTTGGGGCCTTCGCTTGTGCGTGTCGAGTCGCGCCTTATAAATGAGTTTTCTGTTCTTTTTGAGTTACATATGTATTTCATACAAATAGAGTCAATATTTTACAATACATTTAAATACAGTATGCGGTATCATAGTTGTAGTTTATGGTTTTATAAATAATTAAAAGCCAGTTACATATACATATATATATAGAATATATATTCCGATTTTGATTTCGCTAATTATTAAATAACAAGCAAATACAATATATATAATATGAGAATCCTAATCGCACGAGCACGATCGAAAGGAACGTAAAAACTATACACACAATGATACAATTATAATAACACTTTCGACAGAAATTAATGCCCTACACTTTTCAATTTGTTATTCACTTATATATTTTCACATTCCCACGGACTACCAGGAACATTTACATAATGTACAAACATTCATACACATAATACATCCAGTTACATCGATTGCTTGCATCCACTTCTCATCATTCTCACCATACCAGAGCACATACAGAAAAAGGCTCTGCACTAGTGGGAGAAAGAGAGAGAGAGGAGAGGCAGTGTGTGTGGTGTGTGGAAATTAGAGATGGACTAAATCAAGAACTGATCCACAAAAGAGTAGAAGAAATCGAGAGATGTAATGAGTGTTGCATACATTTGTGTTTAGTAGTAGTAAAAGGTGTAGACAGTAGTGTAATGCATGCTAGACAGAGATTTCCTGAATATGTACACGTTTCTTGCTCCCGCTGCTCCCTGAACCCGTCGCCGCATTTCCCGCACTCCCCGTCTGCCGCAGTATACCCTGTTGTTGTTGCTGCTGTTGTTGGGCAGCCAGAAATGATCGCGGCGGTGGCGGCGGTTCGGGTATGTCATCGTCTCGCATAATCTCAGAATCTTGAATGACCGCCGCCTTGACGGCCTCTTCGATGGCCTTGAAAGACATCTGATCCGATGACTGCACTGCATAATCAAATTGCTGCGGACTGTTGAACTGCAGGCTGGTGTCCACGAAGGAGCCGCGCTTGCTGCTCAGCGCCGACGTTGTCTCCATCAGAGTGGGCAGGGCATTGTAGGAGATCATCTCCAGGTGGCTATCGCCGCCTGGTTTCGTCTTTAGCAGATCGAGTGTGCTGGTGGAGCAGGCGCCCCAGCTGTCCATCATGAGAGATGTTTGCCCGGGCACCGTCACCGACATAGACGACGATGGTGGCAGCTCCACAATGAGCTTCTCCTCCTTCAGCTGCTTGGTCTTCTCATCGTAGCAGCTGTATTCCCCAAAGACAACGCCCACACCACCCTTGCTGTCCACCACAGTGCCGCTGAAGGAATAGCCATCCGCGGGATCACCAGAACCGCCACCACTAGGTCCTCCTCCACCACCACCACCAATCAAAGCATTAAGTTTGAGCATGCTGGAACTTTTGCTGGTGTCGCTCTCCTGCAGCTCCTCCTTCGTTTTGGCATCTCGCGCACGCTTCTCGCGCTGATGATAGATCCCCGCAAAGATGAGTACATTGAGGATGAGCAGGAAACAGCCCACAGCCACTGTGGCAATCAATGCTGTGGTGTAGCTCTGAAACTGTTTGCCACTCAGCCGCCGCAGCAGCTCCAGGTTGCCAATGATGCCCGTCGAAGCGGTGGCCAGATCCTTTTGCGTCTCCACGCGCTGGTGTACTCCCGTTCGGTTGTCTTTCGGCGCTTGCGTAGTGGTCAATTCGGAGACGGACATGGCACCATCAATGCCGCATTCTGTAACAGATTAAATGTTAACTTTAAGTTTGTATTTCTTTGATTATAGAATTAAAGTTAAACCTGTGGTGGTGGCTGTGCCGTTAATTATGGGATTCAAAGCTTGCGTTACGTTTGTACTTGGATTCTTTGGCGGTGGCGTAGTCGTCGTTGTCGTTGTGGTCGTTCTGCTTTTCTGTATAATTATAATGTTGTCATCTTCTACTGGTTTCGTCTGCAACTGTGGACGCACTACGCCTAAAAAAAAAAAGAGAAATCAAAATCCTGCACTAAAACTTAAGGATGGAGAGTCTCTGACAAACCTTCATACAGATCCCTGTTGTTCATATCATCCTGGAATTGATGATGCCTCATGGACTGGTCATTGATGTTGAAATGGCGGTGCAGTTGAGGGATGAGGTTCAACCACATGGACAGCTTATGGCCACGATAATGACTCTGAATGTTTGCCTTGTTGCCTGCAAAGGGGAAATTGTTCAAATAAAAGCAACGAATAAACCTCGTTAATGCTCTTTAGTGCTTACCCAACTCCACATACAGCTGGTTGACCACATCGTATGCATCCCAAAAGGGCAGATCATCAGCATCGTAGCTGCCAACATCCCGCTCGCTGGTCAGCCCCAGCTGCGTGAAGGCTCCTTCGTTATTACTGCGCAAGCGGCGACGTATATAGGACCGTTTCTCATGCATGGCATTGCTGCGTCGCTGATTGTAGAGAACCGCCAGTGTCATGGCATCGCTGAGATGTGAATTTGAAGCCAGAGCTGCCGAGCGTTTCTTCAAATCATGCAAGGCAGCATCGTCTGTGTTACCCAAGGCGGTTTTTGCACTGAATTGGTTCGGATTGCTGCTAAATATGAGCGTTAGAGACAGATTATATCTATAAGATGTGTTTGGTTTACCCAGTCTTGGCAAAATTGGACAGATAACGCAGCATTAGACGACCAATTTGACGCTCCTGCGTCGTGTAGTTGTGTGGAAAGAGCGGGGATATGGGCAGGCCGAGCCAAAAAGGCACATCTTCGCCACGAACAGAGCCGGTTCTCTGTGAATTTATCAAGCAAAATGGTTAGCATTAACTTTATTGTGAGTTTGCCCAGTTGGAGACCAACCTGTGGGTATTCCTCTTCGACAGTTTTGTGCTTAAAGTGCAGGAAATAAGTGCGACCCCCGCGTAGACTGTGCATGTAGCCGAGCTTAATCAAAGGCGACGCCGTATGGCCATCGCTGAGGAACTGCAGGGTGGCATCGCGTGAGCTCAAAGGATTTCGAATGGCCTTCTCCCAGTCGGTGTACTCATTCTATATAATTTTAAATGATTATAAATCAGGTATAGAAAGGATATATAGTGTTTGTTGCACCTTTAAGACGGCAAAGATTTCATTTAAATGATAATGAAAATTGTTGCGCACAAAAGTGCGTAGAATGCGATCACGGCGCGTCTCATTAAAGCCAAACTCCAGATCTTGGGCACTCAAATCCAGGTAGGATTCCACAGAACTAAGGCAGAATATGAGGTCTCGTTTGGGAAAGTTTGCATATTCAATTCCTGAAGTACTACAGGAAGTAGAAGTACAAAAAAGAACATTAAAATATATTGTTAAATGTAACTTCGAGTGGCTTTACCTAACAATAGCAGAGCCCAGGGGCAAGGTGGTGCTGCCCAATGGATTTGCAACGGGCGATATAACAGTGCCATCCACAAACGGAGCAAAGCCAACGAGGAATCTGTTATGAAACGGGGAGGTTACATGTGGATAAGCTTAAAACTTAAAACTCTCGCTCCCTCTCTCTCTCTTCACATACCGCGGATGATCCACCTTGACGGAAAGCAGTTCGGCCACGCTTTTGGTGCGCAAACATGGCGCCAGATCATCGTACAGCATATCGCCATGGCAGCCCGTCTGCTCTGCCACGCGACGCTTCACAAACAGCGGATTCTTTTGTATGGCCCAGGGCGACAATGCGGAACCACTGACCAGAACTGTGCGCTGGATTAGATCTACAAGATTAAAGGGTTTCAGACACAGACTTTTTCTAATCTGAGAGAAATCTTACCACTCGACACTGGAGACACAACCAATATGTTGGCCAACACTGCGCCCGTGCCGTAGCCCAGCAGCGTAATGCTTTGCGGATCACCCCCAAACGCTGGCAGATTCTCCTTGAGCCAGTGCAGGCCTGCCACCAGATCCATCAGACCAAAGTTGCCCTGGGCGCTCTCCTTGCCGCCAGTCTTCAGGAATCCAAAGATCCCCAGGCGGAAATTGATTGTCACAACGATGACGTTGCCGTGGGCCGCCAGCTCGGAGCCATCGTATGGATTGCCAGAGTTCCAGTCGAACGATTCGCCATGTATGAACACCACAGTGCTAAGCTTTGCTGTTGTTGCTTGTTCTGCATTATCAACATCAGCGTCCGCATTGCCTTTAGGGATGGGGGAAATTGCACTCAGATTAATACGATAATTGAATAATTGGGTTAATCGCTATCGCTATAGCTATCATTGCAGCTGTCCGTGTGTCCGTGTGTGTTTGCGGCTATCGGAACTGCCAAGTCCACAGCGCTTGCAGTACGTGAAAATTTAATTAAACTGCAATGCACTACGGAATTGAGAGCCACGACGCCAATGCAGTAACGACCACTGGATTAAATATTGGCAACAAGTAAAATAACCTCAAATATTTGCACAAGCGTTTTCTCTTGATTTTATTTTTGGGAAAAAGTTAA